TAAAATACTTTGTATGGGTTTGTGCTTCACTGGATTTTCTTTGAGCTTCTAAAGAGCTCCAGAAGTATACAATAAATATTTCGTAGATCCTATTTTAAGCTCTTAAGTACTGGGATTCAGTTTACACTTACAAATCAACACAAGCACTTCAAACTTTGCAAATTTGCCATGGAGGTATCTTTTAAGCAACCTCACCAGAAGAGCTATGGGAGTACCAAGTATCTCACTATTCATCCAACGAGAAACAGCATAAAAAGCAGGTTAAAAAGGAGAATCACTCAAAGCAAAATTTGACTGGTTGAATTTTGGGAAGACTGATAATAGCAGTTTCTGAAAGTACACACATGACTTGTCACTTCATACAAGTCTATTTTAAATAAAGGTCAGTTGAAGTTGTAAATATTAGATCTCGTTCCAATTTTAACCCAGGTTAGATGACTGGATGTGGAAGTCTAATTTTTCACCACTTTTGAAGTTACTTTATCTGTCAATATGTCAAACTCCAGGCACCAATATTATTATTGGTCTTTTCCAACTACAATGTTGAGTTTTCCCTAATGATCAGATATTAGGAGGAGGAGGTGAAGGCTGTAAGCTTTTGGCTTCATTTTATAAGAGAGGAATACAACAAACCTCTGATTTCAATATATACGTACCCCAGGAGTGTATCTACTTCTAGCAACATCAAAACAGAGTCCGCTATAGGGATTCTTTCTTGCCCAGCAAGCCATAGGGATCTCAACCATAAGATTAAGGATCAACATGCCTGAGCACTTGTATGATTAGTAACTATGCAAAGTAAATTTCCTCAAGGAAAAGGATTTATTGAAAACTGATACTTGCCAGACATTTGAAAAATGAGATTTCATCCCCCTATATTATTTTGCTATACAATCTCTTTAAACAGTAGAGATTTTATGATACCTTCTTGTTCCAGGAAATAGAGCACTGTGAAGCACACAGTGTATAACTGTAATAAAAAGGTTCCCAGAACGTTTGTTTTAATATGGTTGCAGAGAGGAAAGTGTATTACTTAGGTATGAAAAATACTGGTTAACAAACTTGGTGACCATTATCCACAGCTCACTGTCTTGAGCCACTTGGCTCACTGTTTCACTGCAGACTGGCTCTGCACATTTGCTCATTTGGGAGTGAGCAGAGCAACCGTCAGGTTTATCTGTCACAGGGCTGCTAAAAAAAAAGAGCTGCGCAGTGTTATGTTGTGCCCCCTGTGCAGTGACTGGCAGACAGTTTGGCAAACTCAAGGGCTCCTGAAAGAGCTTGCCCACATTCCAGGAAAACTGAAAGACAGGTGAGGAGGACATTTTAATACATTCCAGTTTCTAGACAGACCAAGGTTAGTCTAAGGCCTCCTGGACAGGAGTTCAAACAGGGCACAGCTAATGGTTACTTGAAAACTTCCACCTTAAGCTGAAATCCTTTCCATTCTTTTGATATTCAAATGCAAGTTACACAAACAATGACATTTAATCAAACACTATTTCACAGCTTGGACGGATTGTTGCCCCAATGAAATGAAAGTTTCAGTTTACTGTTAAAAAAAAAAAAAAAAAAAATTCAGACTCCAGTTATCCCTTTCTGGAAAACAGTATAGCTCTCTAAAATCCAAATTGACATAAAATTCCCGGAAGACACTTGATTCAGCCTGCTGAAAAGAAGAATGTATGAGGATAGGGTACAGTAGCTACAGTAGCTTTCTAGCATCCTCTCTCCTGGCAACTTCAAACAGGACAAGGAAAATGACATGGTCCAAGAAAAGCTTCTGTTCCACAGAACAGCTGTGTAGTTGGACTTCTATAATAATGTTTGCTGCTGTGTTGGTTACAATTGCATATTTAGGAAGACATAAGATTTGTGAAATCAGCAATTTAACAGAAATCCAGTTGTGATTATTTATGTGGGGAATGTTAACTACTTAAGATAGCTAATTATAATGAAGACTTCAGAAGCAACATTTTAAATTAAACCAATAGGGTTTAAAAAAAACCACCAACAAAAACAACATCCCTCCACCCCCCCAACAAAAAAACTTATTCTCTAACCATGCCTGGTTATTTTCTTGCCAAATGTAATATAATATTGGCTTACCCACCTCTGTCTTACATGACAGAAATACAGAATTCTAATGCTAGCCAGGTGCTCTAAAACTCGTCTGAATTCTTCATTTCCCATACACCAAAGTCAAATGGGGCAGTTTTAAGATGCTGTCATGCCTGAGCTGAGCATTACTTTACCCAGCTACAGTGTTTCTGACATCAGTGGTACTGTCTGCAGATGTAAGGCACTTACACAAGACAATTCAGCCAGAATAGAAGTGGAATAATCTGGGCCACAATATTGTGACAGTATATTTAAACAGAAAGATAATGACATTTCTGAGAAACTCTGATGAGTCTTACCCAAACAGTAAATAACAATATTATCTGCTCTGCAATTTCACAGTAATTATTTCTTCCTTCTAAATACAATCTCAATGACTTTATACAGGACCCACAATGACTCCCTTTTTCTGATTGTGTCCTGCTTTACCATAACACCAGTATATTTTCAAAAATGCTCCAGCTTAAGCTTAGGAAATTATACTGGCTACCAGGATACCTTAATCAGAGCGTTCTTATCAGTGTGTCTCCAGACTAATAAGAAGAAATCCAATCTAGAGCCCACTGAACACTAAATTAGATCTAATCATAGGGCACTCTTCCAACTGTTCAACAGCAGGTCTAAAACCAACGAATGCCATTTATTTTTTTGATATCCATTAAAATACTACAAGCAATCCCTTAATAGCTGCTTCAAAGCCACGATCAGAAAAGTGTGCAGACATTCGTTTGCATTTAAAGCACGACCATTCAATGCTCTCCTTGCCAAAAGCTACCTTACATTCAAACACTTTCAAGAAGACCCTGAAAGGCTCCAGAGCCACAATACTCTGGGAATCCCATAACGGGGCAACCCACCTACATCTTCTCAGCTTGAGAATGTTTAAATGGTTGAAGTACACCTTTTAATAGTTCTATGGCATATAGATTTTAACAAATCTCCCTTAACAAAAAGGCATCACTTGAGCTAATTCAGACTGGAAAATTACTGCATCTGGGCTTAAATATGTAATTCATTGAAAGCATGCACTACATGCACACAAGGACTATAGTATGAAGGTGTTGAAACCTGTTTAAAGCATTATGCAAAAGTTCTAGACCCACATATTTATAGGACACTGTCAGCCATGTGTTGAGTGATTTTTTTTTTTTTTTTTTCTTTTTTTTCTACTGGGAAAGATCCTATCTATAAAGTGTCCTGGGTTAGATAGAGCAACTGCGTATCACTTCAAACTTGTAACCATAAAATATTTGGGGGGGGAAAGAACTATGATAAAGCTCCGATTTTTTTAATATAGTTTCTTTCTCAGACGTTAAAGTGGCAAGATAAGTTTTAGCTCTCCTTTTGCTTGCAGCTTGTACTGAACACAACCGGAGTATGACAATGACTAACGTGCCAGTTATATCAACATGTACTGAGTCCCAGCTTCTAAGCACTTTCATGCTTATTGTTCTCACAAAGAGAAGAGGTGGCAAACTACCTCCCCCCTAAATACACAGTCTTCTCTTACTGCCCAGGCTGGCCATGAAGACACTGAAGTACTAACAAACTTGTGAGGAATGGGACAGGAGAGAGGAAAGGAGCTGCCAGAAAAAGTATGTGCAAAAGGTGAAGACAAAATAATTGGCTGTGTGCCACTGAAGATGAACAGCTTCCCACTGTCACAGCTCAAGGATTGTCATAACCAAACCATATGTGCTCTTGCTTGTCCTTCTCTAGAATAGGGTGGTCCATGTTTGCAATTAAGATCCTATGAATAAATTACACATCTAAGTAGTCCTTCACTCAACATATAGAGCAATTTCAACTATTTCACATTTTAGTTCTTTGGCTTTCTAATCTAAATCTATGCTTATTTTTATATAGCATGTAAGTGCAGCAAAGACTGCAATCATAGAGTGACACATTCAATGATAATCATGAACTTTTGGGTATTCATTTCTGGTTATGTCAAGACAGTCAGAAAGGCTTAAAATAACATGTCTAAAAGCTACTTTTTATTTGATACTTTATATTTCATATAATTTATTGTTTGGGGGTGGAGGGTTGTGTATGATATAAACCGGAATTGATTAATTTATCATATATCACCTTTACTTTCTGAGTGCATCATCCATGATGGTAATCAGAACATTAGGAATTCACTTCTGCTCCTACCACTGACTGGCTGGAATAGTAGCTGATTTCCTTCTCTTTGAAGGAGTTACTGGTTCCCAATGTGATTATGGAGACAAGAGTGAGTGAAATTTGCAATTTCACATTTGGCTTAGGAAATTTTTTATGCTACATTAATAAATACTGAAGAGTGTGTAATATATATCTTACCCCGATCATGACTGTGTGTTAAATCACACATGGCATAAAATACTCCGATACACAATATATTCTAAAATCATTTCTCTTGCAACTAAGCCACATTTGGCATAATAAGAATATGGAACTGAGCACGACTTGCAACAATATGATCTTTCATATTGCCATTTTGCTTGCACGTGCGGGTACTTGCAACACAGTAGCCCTCAAGGATCTAGATATTCAACCACAAATGCTAAATGTGTAAAAACAATCAGATGGCATCCCCACCCGCACATCAGCAGGTGACCAAATTTCCTTTCTTAGACTTCACTGAGTCTCTCATTTCCTCCCCACACTTAAATCCTCTGTGTCTATTACCCATTATACACACTGTGCTATAAAACTGTTGGCACCTTCCCTTTTTTTTTCAGCCCTTGCCTTCCTCTTGCCTGTCACAGAAACAACAGAGTAGCACGTCCCAGTGAGTTTTCAGTAGAAAAGGTGATTATATTAATGTCAGAAGCTGAAAAAACAGTAAATCTAGCTAGTCTGTAAAGTAAAGAAGAGGAAGAGATCATACTCACAGCAGCTGCAGAGACACAAGATCATCAAAAAGGCCCTGGGGAATCTCTGTGATCTTGTTTCCATAGAGCACTCTGAAAGATTCAGGAAGACAAAATAAATCTTAAGTAACAGACCATTTTAGTGTCCTCCCACATCTCTGCATTATCATCTTTATTGATCTTGTGCACCATGCCCAGGATCTGTGGGCATTTCATTTAACTACTGATCTCATTTTCTTTCCAGAGAGCACATGGTATTAAATGAGTCGTTATGATTCAGACTTCGTCTGCTGTTGGAAAGCATTTTTAATGTACAAACTGGACATCATCCAAAAACTGTATCTGAAATATTTTTCATTCTGCTGAGGGATTTTTTTCCACTGTTTTTAGAAATATTTTAACCATTGAAAGGCACAATGTCTGATACAAAAACCTAGAATTCTGCTCAGTGATACTGAATTTAAAAGCCAGGGAGCACAAGCTGGTTGTAGATAAAATTTCATAGAACTGAACCTCTTAAGATATAGCATGAAATGTGACACAGGCATCATTGGATAAAATATTATGGCTTCACCAGCTGCTGTTACCATTTCAGCTAGCTAATATAAAGAAATTTAGCCTGAACTGGAAATAGATATATAGTTCAGAAACTCAAAAGTAATTTAAATTTTTAAAAATCAGTAAAGATTTAATAACACAAATGAGAGTCACAGTATATATTTATTCAACCATAAATATATATGACCTGATATCCATGATTCAGTTTTAATATTAAAAATATTTCTTTTTTTAATGTAAAAATGCACATATAGTATCCTCAGAAATTGAACTAAAGGGAAAAACAGACAAAACCACCGTTATGCTAAGATGTGTTACCTAGGGATCAGAGCAAAACCATATATGACAGGAACACCTGAATTTCAATCACGGCTAAAGTATATACTCATGTCATTTCTGCAAGTTGATAACATTTGTCAAAACCAGAAAGTGAGTTAGGAGCTTATACGGGTCCTGGTAAAAGGGAAGAAGATTAGGCTCCCTCTGAAAATTCTACGCCTTACCTAAACATTTTAATAGACTTCAGATAGGGAAAAACAGTATTCATCTAATTTCTATGCTCTACATAGGACTTGATAAATGGTTATAAACCAGCTCATGCCAAAACTTTGTTGCTTATGTGTCACTAAACTGGTTAATTCCCTAACTTTTTAATGTGGAATAATATGCTAGTAATGAATCAAACAGCCATGCGAGGCTTGGATGCTGGCTGAAATTCTGGCTTACCCTGTCTTTCAACATTTAAAATATTATGGTGAGTTGAACATACTGAAAAACAAACACTTAGCATGACAGACCATTTACAATACCCTCTGGCCTTCCCAGAGTATCGCCACTTCAGTTTACTCTTCATCAGTCATTGGAAGTATATCACCTCTGTGGGAGAGTTCCCAGATCAGCTCATTTCTGAGCCTAAATAAAATGAATCTAAATAAAATAACACCACTTAGTTATGAAAATCTAAACTTGAAACTTCATTTTTCATTACTTTTGTAGTTTAGCAGAAACTGAACTGCTACCCAAGAAACTAATGATCATCTAGCGTTGTATTTTCTCTAAACAAATGTAACATGATTTCTCTTTTATCTGTTGCAGAGTCAGGAGGTTGGCTTTTAATATGCTGTTAACAGTTAGTGGTTTTTGTGAGTAATGAATGCTAGTACCACTAAATTTTTTTAATTGTTTCCTAATTTCAGCTTCAGAGGACACACACAATTTCTTACTTCAATAAAATTTCATGCAATGTACGTAGATTTTTATACACTAGACAGAAGTGATGGCTGAACTTTGAAAGGTCTAGCAGGTCCATTTAGATAGTTTCAAAATAAGATAATATTCAAGTCACTGAATTTCACTGGGCTCTAAAACAACATCCAAATGGCTGACTCACAGACATCTTTCTGAACAAAGTAACTGATGTGAGCACCTGTATCAGGAAGCAAAAGCAAAACCTCTGCAAATAAAATATTTATAAAAGGTTAAAATATTAAGTTAATGCCCAGAATCCAATATTATTTCCATTTCAGTTTCCACTCTTTCTGAACAACATTTCTTTAGCAAGTGCGTCATCTGCATACAAAGCTTAGATTATAAGCTCTGAGATGTTAGATGAACATCTTCCTTAGTTTGGTGAAGTAGCAGGATTATCAATGCTGATCAATAATGCATAATACTATAACATAGAAGAAAGAATTCAGAAGCTAAGCTTTACAAAATGCCCATGGAAAGAAGTAAAAAAAAAACCCCACTCCAGACTAAGAGTTATTCTGACTGTAGAGGTAAAAACACTTATGTAAAGTAAAACCTTAAAGAAATCTCAACACTCACACCCAGTGCAGTTGTTAGTTATGGTACTACTAAATGCAAATATCAAAATAAGACTCTTATTAGAGTAATTTTTCATTTACTTTTAATTTAAGAGTCAGAAGGACATAGTGCAGTGTTCCACCGAATTTTAAACCTTGGATGTGTTTATACATTCTCTTTATTATTTTGAGCAAAATAAAACAGATTAAAATAGCTTATAAAATAAAACAAAGCTTCAATTTTTAGAATCCATGAAAAGAAAATAAGCGTTTTCAAAACTAATTGGGCTTATGTGCATGTGGCACATTAACATTTGAACAAATTAACAGCTAAACAAAAGTCAGTATGAGAGCTCAGGCACTTGTCTCTAATTCATATTCATGTTCAGCACTACACAGAGCCAAATTAGCTAATGCCATTGTCTGCCTGCCATGCCGGAGCTGAAGTCAAATGGTCCTACAGAAAGAAGCAAAGAAGAGGGGAGGGGAGATACATAAGGAGGGTTTATCACTTGTGGAAGAAGG